TCTCTCCCTCTCTCTCTCTCTCTGTCTCTCTCTCTCTCTCTGTATAGTTTTTCTTTTTTTACTTGGGGTTTGGGGGGCCGGGGGTAGACAGAAAATGTGAGATTAGGATGAGGTAGAGTTATATATTATTATGTATAATTATGATAGTGATCGGAAAAGCCAGCAATAAATGGAGGAAGAATGTGTCCTAGATAGCGATGTAAAAGTAAAAATGTTGTAAAAAAGAACAAGGAGAGGAAGAATGTGTCCTAGATAGCGATGTAAAAGTAAAAAGGTTGTAAAAAAGAACAAGGAGAGGAAGAATGTGTCCTAGATAGCGATGTAAAAGTAAAAAGGTTGTAAAAAAGAACAAGGAGAGGCAGAATAATAGAGCAAATGTGTCAACTTGACACATTGACAGTTTTGGTGAGACGACGAACTTCCTGCTGCTGGCACCCTTTCTCTCTGTGTACTCTTTGTCTTCGTAATCGATCCAGTATCAGTCAGTCAAGCAACAATTTGCTTCTGCTCAGTCTAGTTCCACATTTTTTTCTCTCCAATTATAGATATTATTATATGTGAGTCATCGTGATGAAATCAGGCACTCGTCAAGTACTAGAATCAAAGAAACAGACTTTAAAAAACATTTTTTTTTGCTGGTTTGGCAATTTTTGGGGGAATTTTTGTCGTTTGGCTAAACATCTTTTATGTCTATGTAAAATCGCATTTCTGTGTGGATTCTACCGAAAAACGTTTATTAAAGGGTAACAAATTCGAGGTTTTCATTTTAAAGAATTCTCAAGCTATAGAAATCACCAAATTTTGGCAGCCATTTTCTTGCTAATTTTACCTCTGAACTTGGTGACCCCATTCTCCTTCAATCAACAAATATCTCAACTTTTGTTCAAGATAAAACGATATTTTTTTTCGTTTATGGCAAGGCAAGCGAACAGGCTTGAAGATGTTGCCAATTACTCCTTTTGCACAAAAATTTATGAGCGCCTGATTCCGCCGCGTCGTGACACTCGTGATTATGTATTTGCCGTGTGACGTGAGTGGTGGTATTGATGGCTTTTAGTGGGAAACGTTGACTTGGCAGCGTCAGTCTTGTCTGGAGGTGTCAGATACCGCAGTTTATGCAGTACAGCAGGCATTGCTTGTGGGTGATCTCCTAACTTTCAAACAGTTAGATCGAAGTGTCTTCGGAGACTGAGAATGGTCATGACGAGGCCTCTTGGAGTGCCGTGAAAAATCTCACTCGTGTGGAAATTCATTGGTGAGGCTCTTCAGCCTGTTAATGATGTGAAGCTCCAAGTAACACTAATAATGTCATGTGAAACTCCGAGTAACACTAATAATGTCATGTGAAGCTCCAAGTAACACTAATAATGTCATGTGAAACTCCGAGTAACACTAATAATGTCATGTGAAACTCCGAGTAACACTAATAATGATATGTGAAACTCCGAGTAACACTAATAATGACATGTGAAACTCCGAGTAACACTAATAATGACATGTGAAACTCCGAGTAACACTAATAATGTCATGTGAAACTCCGAGTAACACTAATAATGTCATATGAAACTCCGAGTAACACTAATAATGACATGTGAAGCTCCGAGTAACACTAATAATGTCATGTGAAACTCCGAGTAACACTAATAATGACATGTGAAACTCCGAGTAACACTAATAATGTCATGTGAAACTCCGAGTAACAC